ATGAAGTGTAAGAGTGCTAATGAGCTGACTTATCTCTATGAAAATAAAGGGTGTCTTTTGTTTTCTTTTTCATGGTTTACCTTGTTAAAGAGTGATTTTTTTTTTTTGGGGGGGGGTGGGAAACCCTGTCCTCTTCTCCAGTTCAGAGTCCAGATCCATGAAACAGCAGGATCAAAGACATCCAACATACACCTTTCCAAATATGCTGAACTTAAATTCTCACTTTTTTATTACTGAATATATTTAAATTCATTTAATTTTCTTTAATATTGCATTCAAATAAGATTCATGCAAATACCAAAATTAGGGAGCTTGTTAAACTTGGCCTCCAGGGCCAAGGTCTCCTTAGCTTTGGAATATTCCGAGCATGTGCTAGGTCGCCAGGAGCACAGGTGACTTCTAAACACCAGAGACTCCTGTCTTCATCCAGAGGTAACTGGCCTGGGAACAGAGCCCTCCACATGGAAGGGTCAGGGCTTCTAGCTCCCTGCAGAAGAGAAGCTGGGGGATAAAGGCCCACCACCCAGACTCCTCAGGAGATAGTTCCAGGGCTCTGAGCAGGTCCAGAGCCACAGAAAACCAGAGGAAGGGAGGTAGCAGCAGTTTCTGCAAGTGTAAGCAGAAGTATTGAGAGAGAAGGACTCAGCAATGGGCAGGTCAGAAAGGGGCCCAGGTAGAGAGCTCCAGGGTAAGGGGCCTGCTAAGAAATACCACCAGGCAGCAACAGGGGTCAGGGTGGACACTGAAACCACCCTCAGAGCTCACCTACGTGTGAGTTCTGAGGTGTGGTTGGCAGGTGTGGGCTACTTACTACGTGGGAGACTCTGTGTTGGGACTCCAGAACTGCAGGGGAACTGGGGGGGAAATGCCACGCCAACCCTCAAGAGGGAAGTTGCTCTCTCCATGGGCTGAGATCTAAGCAACAGGGTTACAGAGCTCCCATGAGGCTCCAAACACACAGTCCAGGTGTGGGACCAAGGGTGTCTCCCTAGAACAAGAAAAATAAGCCTCTAAGCTCAGTGAGAAACCACCCAAAAGTTACCCAGGGGAGAATGTGACATATATAGGGGTTTGGTAATTTAATGTTTATTTTGATGAAAGTCCTGCTAAGTGGCCCAGGGTGGACTCTAACATGCATTCCTCCTCACTCAGCACTCTAAGTCACTGAGATCCCAAGGATGCACCCCAAGTTCATCTGCTTTGTTGTTTTAAGATGATACTGGTTACTGTGTGAAACAGAAGAATATGGAAAATCATTGAGCATCAACCCCTCTGTACATTTGTTTCCCAGGAAACTTGATCTAAGCAATAAAAGTTAGTGATTACTAAGAATGTAGGATGTGCCCAGATACTAAGATACGCAATATTCACATATGCTATTTTAGTGAATCCTCAGGCAATTTTCTAAGGATATGTTATTATGCCCATGTTGCTAATGAGAAACTGAGATGTGGGGAAAGTGAAGAAACTAACCCAATGTCACACACAATCATTAAGGCAGAGCCAAGTTTCTAATCCTCTCTGTGTGGGAGCTGCATGGAGCACACCATGCCTCCTCCAGCTGGGAAGAAACGTGGGGAATAGAAGAAGACACCAGCCTGCCTATAGCAAGGACATCAGCATGTGGCAGCAGGATGGATCCACTGGGCACTAAAATAACTTCAAGGTGGTATAAGCCGACAGGTCAAGGGGAGAATACATAGGTGAATTTCCAAGACTGATGCCTGGGGGGCCACTGCATGGGAGGCTACTGTGTGGATTGTCCCCAAGTTCCCAGGCTTCATACCAGTCATGCTCAGGGCTGGGAGAGGGAAGGGCTGGTCCTATGGAAGAAAAACACAAAGTCAATGTGTGGGGGCAGACAGGGCTTGAGGCTGGGAGGCCACAGAGTTCAACCAGGGATCCTGAGGCCTCTGCTGAGGGCAGTGAGTGTCCATTGGTCAAGAAGAGAAGCAGGCCATGTGTTCCTGAGTACTTAGTGCCTGATGCAGCTGACACAAAGGGAAGATGGGGAAAGTCATTATCATTCCTATGCCAACTGCAGGTTACCTCTTTATTCTCTGCTTACCTGGAATCACCTGATCTTATTAAAACTGATTCCTCCAAACAGTACCACTTCTAAATATCCAAAAGGGATCCAGTCATTATGGTAATTGAAATAAAATGGTAGTATGTGGACAGGATTTCAAGTTGTTGGCCCCACACCCCAGGCCTTGCACCATCCCAATCCCAAGGTACCCAAATAGGAATTTCAATAAAATTTCTTATGAAATATTTTGAGACATAATCAAATAAGTTGAATCTAAGAGAGAGAGAGAGAGAGTACACATTAGATCTGTCTTCAACATTGAAGCCCATCCATCTGCACATGGAGGCAGAAGAAGGAGGATCTCAGGCCATGAAGACTGGATGTGAGGAGATGCTCTAATGCAGCTCTTGGAGGCAGGAGGAGCCACATTTCAAACAATTAGGGCAGCGTCCAAGAGCTCTGTGCTGATGGCCACAGGGATATTGGGACCTCACCCTACAACTGTGGAAAGATGACCCTGCCACAGACACTGGACCTGGAAGAAGATCCTGAACTTCAACAAGGAGAGCTGACAAAGACTGTTCTATTTCAGTCTGGTCAGGCGGAGCTGAGGACCCAGCCTGGACTCGAGTGACAGAAAACTAGGAGACACATCACACTGCCATATATCATCAGATGGATCAGAAAATGAAACAGAAGAAGGAAGTGTCCCACATGTCTCATGGCTGAGGGGACCCTCACCTCTCTGTTCTCTCTTCAGTGTGGTCAGGTTCTGCCTTCTTCTGCCAAAGAGATCCTCCTGATCTGTCCACACCCACACAATCCAGGCTGAACTCAGGGCCTTAAAGAAGAAGGAAATGGTGGCATTTCAGGTAAATGGATGCAAGTGGAGAACATCATGATAAGTGAAAGAGCCAGACTCTGGAAGGTGAGGGTCCCATGTCACCCTCCTATGCAAAAGCTAGAGGAAAGGAAGGGGAAAAGGGGGTAAGGTGTCATAAGGAGAGAAGGATGACCAGTGGCAAAGGAGACAGAGATGGAGGCTCAGGGTCCTGGGAGAGGGAGGAAATGTGGAAGGAATGCACCACATGACACCATATGCTTGGGCACTGACACCACAGCACAGCAGTGAGCCCAGCTCCACAGAGGTCTCGAGCCCACAAATGACAAAGGAGCAAATGAATAAACATAAGGAGGACAGGAGATAAGAGGGAGGGGTGGGGATGGAAGAAAGGGAAAGAGGGGACTCCAGGGACTAAGATGGAGCACAGTGTATCCCCTGCCTGCATATTGTGCCGAGGGAACCATCTGTATTGCAGAGCTCCATTGCACCAACAGGAGCATTTACAATAGTAAACAGGCCACTGAAGAAAAGTCATGGAAAGGGGAAATCTACTTACCTAAAAATATCTTTACAAGGAAATCAGGTATTAACTATGGAAATCAGTTGAGATAACCAGATCTAAGCTGCACCTGAGATGGCTCAGGCCCATCATGAGATCCCCCAGGAAACACCCTGAGGACGTACTTAGGAAAAGGAGAAGACAGAGGAGTGATCTGCCCACCACTTTCTCCCAAGGGGTAATGTGCTATGGAACTTTCTGAGACTCTTCACTTTTCCTATTCCTGCACAGTGAGTTCCAACCCATTCTCCTTCATTTCCTTTTCTTCTGCTCATTTAGAAAAAGCACAGGAAGACCTCAGCCTGGGGAAACTGCAAACAGGCATGTTTCACAGGTTCAGAGGACACTGCCCAATCAGGGCAGAACAGCCACAGAAGTTTAGCTAAACTAAGAGACACAAGGCAGGGTCCTTGGCAGCTGGTGGCCCAAGTTCCACACACTGGAGAGGTTGGGTCAGAGGTCCTGGGCTGGGGAGAAAAGCCTCTCAGCCATGTTGGCCAACACAGCACAGGCTCACTCTGTCCCATCTGTGGATGAGGAGGGCTGAAATCAATTTTCCTGTGGAGGGAAAAGGACCTTCTCCCCAAGACACCTTGGGGCAAGTCCCAGGACAACAGTAGTGCACCTTGAACCCCCTGAACATGGCAAGAGTGCCTGTGTGCAGTTCTGACCTAGGGAATCTACTTTAAAACCCAGGGCGGTGACACCTGCTCCCTAGTGTCCCTGACAAGGAGGAGCACATAGATGCCTCTATCATCTATGAGAAGGAACTAATGCAGAATCCTCCTTGTCCACACTGTCCCGTGGGCTCAGGGGTCCATCTCCTGGGAAATGTTTGGTGGCTCTGAGTGTCAAATGCATGGAGATGACTAGGAAAGGATGGCCACCAGTTACAGACCTCACCCCAGGAGCTTCACATTGACTACCTCAGGGGACAGGCTCCTTGTCCTCTTTCCTTTAGCAGGGCTACTTGTTCTTCAGCTGAAACAAGATTTCTCTTCCCTCCAGCTTCTTGTCACACTTGTGCTATTATTTCATTCACTGGGTGAGGAAAATGTGACATCTAAACTGTCCCTGATGCTCTTGTATTTCTGTAGGTAACATCAGACACCAGAAGCTCTTGAACCTCTTCAACTGCATGCTGTGGCTGGAATTAATTTCAACCATCAAAACTGGTGAGGTGGTACTTGTCACCTTCTCTTCTCTTCTCAGCTGAGAGGAGGACAGCAGGAAGGTCATTTCCTCACAAAGGCTGATCTGCAGGCCACCTCCCTATCTGTGCATCTGTGCTGTCTTAGAAGGGCAGGCCCTGGGCCCCATGACTACTCACAGAGTGAGGCTTCCATGATGAGGCCTCCTGCCCACATCACAGGCACCCATGGCTATGTCTCTGCTCTAATTCCTCCAACTGTAGAAGACATAGGATGTCCCTGGGTTCACAAGCAGCAGTCCCCACGCTCCCTCATTCTCCCCAGCCAGCACCCACCAGGGCATTTGCATGCTGCTCCCTGGGGAGGGTCTTCTTGCAAGGCTGACATAAAGCTCAGCTCTAACCTGCCCTTCACTCACGAGGACTCCTCAGCTCAGCTTCTCAAAATGAGGCTCCCTGCTCAGCTCCTGGGGCTGCTGCTGCTCTGGATCCCTGGTGAGGACAGAGGGGTGGGGAAGGAGAAGGGGGAAGGAGGTGAGCCCTGGGCCCCATTCTGTCCATGTGTGCTGTGTCCACATGAGGGATGTGCAGGTCCGTCCTCCAGGATGAGGCAGCTGAGGTCAATTGATGTGAGGCAGTATTTCAGAAGGAGCTAAGGACTGGCTCTGATAAAAGTTGTCACATAATACAAGGGGGATTTTGAAGGGAATTTTTGAGAGGCTCTTAGAGCTTACTCAACTAGAGTTCTTTATGAATAGTTTAGGATGTATAAATCAAAAATAAAAATTAATTTAGTCTTAAATGTACAAAAAATGGGAAAACATTTCATAAATTTTCTACATAACCTTGGATTGCTCTGTGATTTTTACAGGAACCAGTGGAGATGTTGTGATGAACCAGACTCCTCTCTCCGAGCTCGTCACTCCTGGACAGCCAGCCTCCATCTCCTGCAGGTCCAGAAAGAGCCTCCTATACAGTGATGGAAAAACCTATTTACACTGGGTTGTGCACATGCCAGGCCAGACTCCACAGGTCCTAATATATGGGGTTTCCAACTGGTTCCCTGGGGTCTCAGATAGGTTCAGTGGCAGTGGGTTAGGGACAGATTTCACACTGAGAAATATCAGGGTGGAACCTGAGGATGCTGGGGTGTATTACTGTGTGCAAAGTCTACATATTCCTCCCACAGTGGTGCATCCCTGATCAAAAACCTCCCTACCTGGGTGGCCCAGCTGCCATATGAGATGCTGGTCTGGCAAGCAACTCAGCAGATTCTCTGCCCTGTGAGAGGAAGGTGCTGGGAACTCAGAGAACAGGGTACAGCTGAGGGCTGTGGACCATGACTGCCTGGGCCACAGCTCGGCCACACATGAGTGGCCCTGTCAGCTGCAGCAGCCTGGCCTGGCAGATGGAGGACAAGCACAGAGGTGTCCAGGGACCTTCTGAGTGAGCAGACAGGATGAGTGAGGACACTGCAGGAAAAGCAAGACCTGGGCCCTGGACAGGACTCTGGTGCAGGCAGGGATGGTGTAGGGACTTTCTGCAGGTCCCTTGTGCTTACAAATGCTGTTCTTTGTGAAATAGGGGTTCACATCTAATCACACACAAAAAAATTACAAAGCTTGTAATAACTTATGAAAGGAAAATGATGGAAATGGCTTATTAATTGGGTACTCAATCTTTTATTTCTCTCTTATTTTTCCAGGAACCAGCAGGGATACAGTGAGGATGCAGTTTCCACTCTCCCTGCTGACACCCTTGACTCCCTGCCTTCATCTTGGGAAGGATCAGAGTCGGAAAAATCACTCAAGAGGGTGGAAGTTTGTGCCTTGGTGATGAAGGTGATTCCTAGATAATAGAGCTCCTGGCGAATGTAACTGAAATCCCAAAGTCCTATTTGTGATGAGTATTAAATTTATATGCAAATATTTATTTATGTGGAAGAAAATATAATTCAAAATTTTTTAAATTTAAAAAGAATGTTGTGAATAAGTAATTTTTAAAATATTTGGAATCCCAGAAATGTAAAAGAAGCAATTGTGGTGAAGGGAAACTGATTAAAACCAGACAGTTAGTTGTCCTTACTTTGGAGAAACCACTAAAGACACTGCTCACAGAGGAGCAATGACTCAGAGAGACATGGAGGTATGTAAAAGGCATATGGAGGAAGGCAGGAATTTGTGGATGAATGTGTACTAATATTGGCTGCACAAATGACGGGTGAGTACCTTGTACACATTGAGATGTACATAAACCTGGAAAGCTTGAAAAGCAGTGTGTTAGCAGGAAAAAAAAGGAAATAAATGTAATTAAAAATTATACTGCTTCATAGAGTGGAAAAAGTCAATCCTCTGGCTGTGGGAATGGAAACAAGAGCTTCTGCCCAAGAGGCATCTCCTCCACCACTGACCAACATCCCACAACATGCTCAAGACCAACCCTGAGCCAGGGCCACAAAGGAAGCCATGGCCTGATTCCTCACTCACAGAAAGGCAGGGTGGTGGGGAGGATAAAATGCTAATAGCTTAGCTGCTGGGTTGGGGCAATATTTTATATAAAATTATACAATCCGTATAATTGTATGAGCCACAGAAAGTAATGTTGTTTCACTGGATAACGAAAACACGCATAATGTTAGCATCACAGAAAGAAGGTCTATGGCTGGAAATGTTGAGTAGTTCCTGAATATTCCATGAAGTAAATGAGCTGACTTATCCCGGTAAAAATAGAGAGTGTCTTTTGTTTTTCTCTTTCATGGTTTGCCTTGTTAAAGAGTGATATTTTGGGGGGTGAAAAACAGTTTTCTTTAACAGATAAAAATAATGTTCAAAAAGTCAATCAGATTCCAGGGGGGATGGAGCCTCCCTAGCCTGGGTCCCCACATCATTCTGTGGAGCACCCCTGCGTCACCCAGGAGCACACAGCCTTAACAATATGCTATGGGGCCAGCTGTAAAAAGTACAGTGGTGACCTCCATTCTGAGTGCTGTGAATGCACAAAAGACAACCTGAGTGACAGCAATGAGAGACAACGGTGTCTTGCTCAGTCCTATAATGATGCGGTTTTCTTTTTTTAAGGCTTTTTAAAATTTTTTGGTTGTAGATGGACACAATACCTTTATTTTATTTTATTTCTTATGTGGTGCTGAGGATCAAACCCAGGGCCCCGCATGTGCTAGGTAAGCACTCTAACACTGAACCACAACCCCAGCCCTAATGATGCTGTCTTAACAGATAAAAATATAAAATTAATTATGCTTGAAAGATAGATCAGCCTCTTTAGGGCTGAGGCTATGGTGAGTGTATTTCCAGGATCATGTCGCCCTCTGGTGGGCAAGAAGTGGAACATCCTAGCGCAGGATTCAGAGAGAGAAACCTCCCTGAAAGTGAGCTACCTCTGTGTCCACATGGTCCTGTGCCCTGTGCTCTCCACACTGATGTTCTGCAGCTCCAGGAAGACAGCTCGCCCACCTGTCCATCAAAGGGGCAGACACTCACATTCAGAGAGACGTTCAGAACCCAACTGTTATGCCTGGGGACAAGGGAAGAAGGCAGAGCAGATGTGTCTAACAGGTCACTCACTGAATTCAGGACAAGTTCAGGCCAAAACCAGGTGTCAAGTCAAACCAGGCGTCCCGTCCTCCTTCTCCAGTACAGAGTCCAAATCCAAGAAACAACAGGATCAAAGACACCCAACATACACCTTTCCAAATACGCTGAACTTATTTCATGAGCTCCTTCAAGATGAGACTTCTTTTGTCATCTAAGGTCAGTGTGAAGTGAAAAAATACCTTCCTGTCCCCACTGTTGTCTCTGGGAAGAGTTTGAACCTCAGCTTGTAAACTTTGTCTTTTTCTCATCACAATTAATAAAATGTGTGATTTTACCTGTCTGTGTGTGTGAACTTAAACATATCTCTTCTTCCATGAGACTTCCAAGTATGGGGTCACTCAAGAGAGATGCTCCCTGAGGTCAGCTGGCTTCACGGTGCCCAGGCTCACACCACCTAGTGAACTACAGTTTTGCCCACCCTAACAAGAGAAGAGCCATTAAAAAAAAACTCCCGCTAATGAGTAGCATGACCAGAGTCTACATTAGTCTCCTGACCCCACAAGAAGCAATGCTCAGTGTCCCCTGCACTCTTCAGCTCTCCCTAATTTCCCACAAATGGTGCAGACACCTTTTCATGTAGGGTCCCTGAACAGCAGCAAGATCTGAAGGGGACCTTGAAAGGAGAGTGCTCACTGTTGCCCTCTGCTGGTCCAGCCGACACTTTGCACAGTCCCCTGAAGGTCTCTCCTTTTTAAGTGCCTTTAGCCTTCCTCTTGTGAGGATTGCTGTGATGTGGGGTCAATGTCTCAGAGCTGCTTCAGCATCTCAGAATATTGGGTTATGAAGAGTCAGATACCTTGCCTGACCTTTGTGTGCATTCTACATGTGGGAAACAGGCTCAAACAGAACCTTTGTGTGCCAGGACCTGGACTTGGTTCATCCAATGGGACCCCTAGTGCTCTGCCCTCATGGGAGACACTCCTGACAGCCCACAGCAGACAGCACCACACAAAGGTGGTTCTATGCACTGCAGAAGCTATGCAGTCCCCTGCGGAGATGGTCCTTAAATACCAGCTTATCACTCCTCTCTCAACCCCCTTGCATCTTGAGCTGGTGACAAAAATAAATACATAGATAGATAGATAAAGAGATAGATAAAATAAAAAACAATCAACACATGGAACTATCCTTCAAAACCAAAATGCCACAACACAAACCTTTCCTTATTGTGTCTTTATGTTCAAGGTAGATCTTATTTTTTTTTTATTCTCACTTTATTTAATACTGAAGTATATTTACATCTTAAATTCATTTAATTTTCTTTAGTGTTACATTCAAATATGATTCAAGCAAATATCAAAATTGAGGATCTTACTAAACTTGCCCTCCAGGGCTAATGCCTCCTTAGTTTTGACCCACTCCACGCATGTGCTAGGAGTCCAGGAGCACAGGTGACTTCTAAACACCAGGGACCCCTGTCTTCATGCAGAGAGGACTGGCCTGGGAATAGAGCCCTCCACACATGGAAGGGTCAGGGCTTTCAGCTCCCTGCAGAAGAGAAGCTAGGGGATAAAAGCCCACCACATGGACTCCTCAGGAGACAGATCCAGGGCTCTGAGCAGGTCCAGAGCCACAGAGAACCAGAAGAAGGTGGGTAGCAGCAGTTTCTGCAAGTGTAGGCAAAAGTCTTGAGAGAGAAGGACTCAGCAATGAGCAGGTCAGAAAGAGGGCCCAGGTAGAGAGCTCCAGGGAGAGGGGCCTGCTAAGAAATACCACCAGGTAACAACAGGGGTCAGGGTGGTCACTGAACCCACAGTCAGAGCCCACCTACGTCTGAGTTCTGAGGTGTGGTTGGCAGGAGTGGGCTAATTACTATGTGGTAGACTCTGGGTTTGATCTCCAGAACTGCAGGGAAAACTGGGGTGTGGGGGATGCCATGCCCACCCTCACCAGGGCAGTGGCTCTCTCCATGGTCTGATATCTAGGCAACAGGGTTACATAGCACCCATCAGGCTCCAATCCACAGGCCAAGTACTGGATCATGGATGTCTCCCTAGGACAAGAAAAATAAGCTTCTAAGCTCACTGAGAAACCACCCAAGAGTTACCCAGGGGAGAATGGGACTTGTTTCAGGGTTTGGTTATTTATGTTCATTTTGATAAAAGTCCTTCTAAGTGGCCCAGGCTGGCCTCTAACTTGCAATCATTCTGCCTCAGCACTTTAAGTCACTGGGATCTCAAGGATACACCCCAAGTTCAGCTGCTTTGCTGTTTTAAGGTGATACTGGTTACTGTGTGAAACAGAAGAATATGGAAAGTCATTGATCATCAACCCCCTCTGTACATTTGTTTCCCAGGAAACTTGATCTAAGCAATAAAAATTAGTGATTACTAAGAATGTAGTATGTGCCCAGATACTAAGATACACAATATTCACATATGTTATTTTAGTGAATCCTCAGGCAACTCTCTAAGGATATGTTATTATTCCCATGTTGCTAATGAGAAACTGAGATGTGGGGAAAGTGAAGAAACTAACCTGATGTCACACACAATCATTAAGACAGAGCCAAGATTCTAATCCTCTCTATGTGGGTGCTGCATGGAGCACACCATGCCTCCTCCAGCTAGGAAGAAACCTGAGGACCAGAGGAAGCCACCAGCCTGCCTACAGGAAGGCCAGGTGACTGGTTTCCATGAGGACATCAACATGGGACAGCATGATGAATCCAGTGGGCTCTGAAATAGCACCAAAGTGGTATAAACCAGTAGATCACAGGGAGAATCCATATGTGAACTTCCAAGACTGATGCCTGGGGAAACATTGCATAGGAGGCCATGGCATGGCTTGTCCTCATGTTCCCAGGCTGCACACCAGCCTTGCTCAGGGCAGGGAAAGGAACAGGCTGGTCCTGTGGAAGGAAGACACAGAGTCAGTGTGTGGAGAGCAGACAGGACCTGAGGCTGGGAGGACATGGAGCTCTGCCAGGGAGTCTGCGGCCTCTGCTGAGGGCAATAAGTGCCTGTGGGTCCAGGAGAAAAGCAGGCCATGTGTTCCTGAGTACTTAGTGCCTGGTGCAGCTCACACACAGGAAGTCAGGGGAAGTCATTGTCATTCTTGAGCCAACTGAAGGTTACTTCTTTATTCTCTGCTTACCTGGAATCACGTGATCTTATTAAAACTGATTCCTCCAAACAGCACTGGCTTCTGACAATCCAACAGGGATCCAGTAATTATGGTAAGTGAAAAAAAATGGTAGCATGTGGACAGGATTCCACGTTGTTGACCCCAAACATCAGGCTTGTACCATCCCATTCCCTAGGAACTCAAACAAAAATTTCAATAAAATTTCTTATGAAAAATCTTAGAGACATAATTAAATAAGTTGAATTTAACAGAGGGAGAGAGTATACATTATATCTGTCTTCATCATTGAAGCCTGTCCAATAGCACATGGAGGCAGAAGAAGGAGGATCTCAGGCCATGAAGACTGGATGTGATGAGATGCTTTAATGCTCTTCTTGGAGGGGGCAAATTGGGCATAGTCCAGAAGTTCTGTGCTGATGGCCACAGGGAAATTTGGACCTCACTCTAAAACTGTGGGAAGATGATTGCCTCAGCCATTGGACCTGGAAGAAGACCCTGAACTTCAGCAAGGAGAGCTGTCCACTGACTGCTCCATTTCAGTCTGGTCAAGCTGAGCTGAGGACCCAGCCTGGACTCCTGAGGGACAGGCATGGGAAGGATCACACTGCTCAATAGAGGGGAATTTGTTGCTCAGCCACAGAAAACTAGGAGAGACATCACACTGCCATACCTCAACAAAAGGATCAGAAAACTAAACACAAGAAGCAATTGTCCCACATGGCTCATGGCTGAGGGGACCCTCAGCTCTCTGCTCTCCTTGCAATGTGGTCATGTTCTGCCTTCTTCTGCACAGAGATCCCCCTGATCTGCCCTCACCCACACAATACTGGCTGAACTTGGGGCCTTAAAGAAGAAGGAAATGGTGGCATTTCAGGTAAATGGATGGAAGTGGAGAACATCATGACAAGTGAAAGAGCCCGACTCTGGAAGGTGAGGGTCCCATGTCACCCTCCTGTGCAAAAGCTAGAACAAAGGAAGGGGAAAGGGTGGTAATGTGTCATAAGGGGAGAGGGACAACCAGTGGCAAAGAAGACAGAGATGGAGGGTCAAGGAACTGGGACAGGGAGGAAATGTGGAAGGAATGCACCATATGACACCATGTGCTTGGGCAGAGACAGCACAGCACAGCAGTGAGCCCAGCTCCACAGAGGTCTAGAGCCCACCAATGACAAAAGAGCAGATGAATAAACAGAAGGAAGACAGGAGAGAAGTGGGAGGGGGTGTGGATGAAAGAAAGGGAAAGAGGGGGCACTAGGGAATAATATGGAGCACAGTGTATTCCATGCCTGCAGATTGTGCCCAGGGAACCATCTGTTTTGCAGTACTCCAATACCGCAATAGGAGAATTTACAAGAGTAAATAAGGTACTGAAGAATCTTCATGGAAAAGCGAAATCTACTTTCCTAGAAAATATCTTTGTAAGTAAATCAGGCATAAACTATGGAAATAGTTGAAATAAACAGATCTAAACAGCACCTGAGATGGTTCAAGGTCATCATGAGATCCCCCAGGAAACACCCTGAGGACGTCCTTAGGGCAAGGAGAAGACAGAGGAGTGTTCTGTCCACCACTTTCTCCCAAGGGCTCCTGTGCTCTGGAACTTTCTGAGACTCTGCACTCTTCCTGTTCTTGTCCAGTGAGTTCCAACCCATTCTCCTTCATGTCCTTTCCTTCTGCTCATTCACAAAAACCACAGGAAGACAGCAGCCTGTGGAAACTACAAACAGGCACATTTCACAGTTTCAGAGGATGCTGCCCACTTGGATCAGGACAGCCACAGAGGTTCAGTTAATCTACAAGACACATGGCAGGGTCCTTGGCTGCTGGTGGCCCAAGTTCCACACAATGGAGAGGGTGTGTCAGAGGTCCTGGGCTTGGGAGAAAAGTAGCACAGCCATGTTGCCCAACACAACAGAGGCTCCCTCAGTCCCACCTGTGGAGAAGGGCTGAAATCAATTTTCCTCTGCAGGGAAAAGGACCTTGTCACCAAGACACATTGGGACAAGTCCCAGGAGAACATTAGTGTACATGGACCCCCTGAACATGGTGAGAGTGCCTGAGTGCAGTTTTGACCTAGGGAATCTACTTTAAAACCCAGGGTGGTGACACCTGCTCCCTCTTGTCCCTGACAAGGAGGAACAGATGG